AAAAAAAAAAAAAAGAAAATGGCCAGGGTAATATAACAGAATGATCCCAGACTGAAGTTTTCTAAAGCCATCCTGGGTGACAGACGCACTGGTCAAAAACATCTGTTCTGCTGGCTTCCTACATCCTGCTCCACCCCCACTCCTACCCACATCATCTTTTCTGAGAGATACTTTTATTAACACCCTGGCCCTCCCCTATACACATGGTTACAGCAGTGAGACTCTTGGAGGTCTTGTTCATATATCATGCTCTCATCCGCCTGACCCAATGCAATAAATTAGAGTCCCATTTCCATAATTTGGCATTGGGACTGAGACTCTAAGTCTCTCCAGACCATGACAAGAGAGAGCTGTTGGCAGATGTATTTTCTACATCATGAACTATAGCAGCTAAGGATGGAGCATGGATTCCACCCAGAAAGAAGTGTGGTGAAACAGAAAGGGCCTTCTCTGTGCTTGAGTTCCCAGTGTGGGTCATTCCTGAGGCCTGGTCCTGTCCCGGCCCTTGGGTGCCACACCACACCTCTGGATCCTTATTTTGCTGAGGTTTCAGTGACTCTTCAGCTGTGGTCAAGAATTCTAGCTAAAATACACCCCAGCACTCGGCTCTGAGAACAGAAAGAAATAACCGTGGAGACAGGTGTCCAATTGGAGATGAAGCAGTGTGACGTGGCAGCTTCCTTATCAACAACCTGTCTAATAACAAGGGACCAAAAGACCTGGACCTAGAGAAAGTTTCCACCCTCTGGCTCTTTTATGGGACTCTAGAAAACCATCTCTCAGACCCATAGAGTTATTTCACTGCCGATGACAGAATGAGTGGTTTTCAAATAGGACGTCTAGGTGAGAGTCTGAGGATCTGGTCTTATTCCCAGCCATGTCCACTGAAAGAAACCAATCTGTCCTCTATTCCTGAAATATGTACCTGTCAGTTTTCCCAAGCACAGAGGAAAAGAACGTGGGCTCGAGAGTCCAGCTGTGTCGTTAGCAAAGTTGGTTAATTCCTCTTCCTCTTATCAGTAAATCAGTGATGTAATTCCCCCCCAGAGGATGAAATGAGTGTGTGTGTGTGTGTGTGTGTGTGTGTGCACCGTGTGCATACACACAGGTGTGAAGCACCTAACACAACCCCTCACACATGCCTGTTACGCAGCAGAGCCACTCCAGCCATGGAACCCTGCTAGAGCTCAGAGCAAGAGCCTGGTACGAAGGCAGGAAGTCCCTCCAAGAAAACCACCGCTACCAAAACTACTGGCTTATTATTGCTCTTTTTTTTTTTTCTTGAGACAGAGTCTCAAGCTGTTATCCTGGGTAGAGTGCTGTGGCATCGTAGTTCACAGCAACCTCAAACTCTTGGGCTTAAGCGATTCTCTTGCCTCAGCCTCCCAAGTAGCTGGGACTACAGGAGCCCACCACAACGCCTGGCCATTTTTGGGGTGGCTATTTTTTGGTTGTAGTTGTCGTTGTTTGGCAGGCCCGGGCTGGATTTGAACCTGCCAGCCCCAGTGTATGTGGCTGGTGCCATAGCCGCTGACCCCGAGCCTATTGTTTATTTATTTATTTATTTATTTTGCACCAAACCCCAGTCCTCCCATAGGAGCCAGGGTCCAAGGCTTTGTGTATTATTTAGCAGTGACTGCTTTTCACTTCCTCTAAGACCCCCGGGCTGCAGGGAAGGAGCCAGTAGTGAGAACCTGGGGGAGAGAAAAGAGGCCCTGGGAAGAGGGGATAAGGAGACAGTGGTCTCTGGAGTTACTGTAATTCAGCACCCACCATGGGCCAGCCACATTTGTGTGCTTTATGTGTGTTTTCTTCACGGTATTCTCCCTCCTGGCTAACAAATGAGGGGCAGAGAGGCTATGACATTGACAGTTCTGAGATGTGCTAATAGTGCAGAATTAACTGGCTAGGGATTGCTTGCCTAAAACACAAACAGCTGCTGCCACAGGCCTGGCACAGACTCCTGACTAGAGCCAGGGACCTGCCCCTCGGCCCTGCTGGGCAAACAGATCCCCTTTTATTAAGCAGCCAGTTCTTTTCCAAGGTGCTGATAGCTTTAGCTGGGCTCCAAATACACTTGAATCTCTTCTGGACAAAACAAGGGAGAGAGAGAAGAGAAAACATTGGAAAAGGGAATAGTAGTAGGAAGAAACAAAGGGAAGAGAAGGCAGGCGACCGACTTGGTAACATACTCATTCCTTTATTGTCGACTGTGTTAACTGGAACAAAATGGGGCCTTCAGGCTGCTGGCAGCACCGAACTGCAGGTGCATTTCAGTTCAACAGAGAGGCCACCATCCCAAGCCAGGGGACAGAGGGTAATGTTTTATATATATATTTATATATTACATATGTCCCGTATAGTCATATGTATAGAGTGACAAGAATGGGCCACTGCATTAACTGTTGTCCTAAATAAAGACCATAGCAACAGACACGGAAATTTGGTCCTAACAGGGCCCTTACTTTGTCAATCAAATGTTTGATACATCAAAAGGAAAAGGAGAGAAAGACAGAGAGACTGAGATCCAGCCACCCCTGGTGGCCCTGTTCCCAGCATGTTTTACACTGAGAATAGAGTGTCCCCTGTGGAGGTAAACACGCACACAGACACGCGCGCGCACACACACACATACACAAAACTGCAGGCAGAAGCTTTTCCTCTGACCATACCTCGGGCCCAGCCCTCAGACTAGGGTGGCAAAGAGGGTATTTTGTGCTCTAAGACTGTGAGGGAGGAGTGACAAGACAATGTAGGCTCAATGTGTCCAAGTGATGAATGGGGTGATACGTGCTGCTTCGTCCACACACCAGAAAGAGATCAGTGGGAGGGGCTGCTCCATGCAGCCCAGGAAGTCTCCCTGTGCCCAGGCCACCTGGGGAATTTCTAAACACAACTTCTGTCCCAGCCACAGACGAACCTCTGATCTGAATCCTGAGTCTCAAATAATCTCTTGGGCTCTGATGAAAATTGTGATTTCTTTGAAGGACAGGAGCAAATGGCAATTGGGTGGCTCAAGCACCTAGTCCTGTAATGACAGCAGAAATGACAGCATCATTGAATTAAACCACACCAAAGCTTGATCCTCAGAGCAGGACTTGAAAGGTGTGAGAGGGTTCATTTCTTGAAGGAAGGAGAATAACCCCCCGCTGTCACCTCCCAAACACCAAGTCGCAGGCAGATCTATCAGTCTCGTGTCTTTACCCCAGTGACAAAAGTACCCATATTCTAGGAATCAGAGACTCCACTGTTAGAGCACCTGAAATCCTAACTCATTTGTTCGTGTTGGTGATTACCTCTTTACCCCTCCACCAAAATAATGTACTTTAAAAGTAAGTCAATGAACGTTAATCTTTTTTCCTTTTTGTAGAAATTTACTTATCACTTGAGATACTTGGAGACATTTTGGATTGTCCCAAAGGAAGGTGAGCAGTTCCCCCCTAGGGACTAATTTGCACAACTGGTGAAGAAAGGATCAGTTTTCAACAAAAGAGTTCCCCCCAAAAATGTGATTCAGAAACAGGGGTAATAGGCAAAGCTGGAAAAGATTGCACCTGGTTCTCTGTTTCCTGTGCTAAATGACAGGGAAAGCAACAGATTTTAATACCTTCATTTAGTCAGGGGTGCAGCGACATTGACTCCTCCCACTGTGAAGAGGGATCTGGGCAAGTGCAGGGAGAAATGACCAATGCAGAAGGAGCAGCATCTCAAAAATGGGGAGTCGGCTCCATGGTTTGTGACCAAAGTTTCTTCTCGGAGGGGACAGAAACAAAGAGACCTAGAGGAGGGACTTCCCTTGATGACTGTCCAGGTTGTCTTAATTGTTGCTCCATTTCCTGCAAGTCCCAGGGTGGCAGCAACCGGCTGGTTTGCAATAACCAACCAGGGGCTGGGAAGGCGGGCAGGAGGCAGAGTTTGGGAAGCCATGAGTTCTTGCCAAAGCTGAAGAGCTCGGGCCATGTTGGTGAGGTCGTTTACATCATTGAAAAGGAGTCTGAGAGGCTGAAAGAGGTTGTTTGAGGCCCAGAAAGGGGAGAGTGGGGCTCGCTCTGTCCACTGGGAGCACAGGACCAACACGGTCAGGATGTCTCTTGTCCTCAGTGGATGCTGAGCAGTTTTCTGGTCCTAGAAAGTGCTTAGAGGCTGCTCACCGTCAGCATGGGAGGAGATGGAGGTTACGGAGTGAGACGGGTAGGAAAGGGACTGTCTTCTCAGGCACTGGCCACCTTCCCTGCTGGGGGCAGCTGACACGGGGAGAAGCCTGAGGTCTGACAGGGAGGCGTCTAAAGTCAGAAGAAGGAAAGGAGGCTACGCAGTGACCACAGCAGGCCCAGACAGCTTGGGCCACGCGTCTCCCACACACAAACTGAGCTCCACGAATAAATAACATGAATTAAATAAAGGAGGTGGAGAAGAGCAGGCAGAGGTGCTGTCTGCCGGATCCTCTCCCTTCACACGCACGCACACGCACATGCACACACACGCACGCACACGCAAGCAGCAGGTGAGATGAGCCGGGGCTGGCTACCCCACCCCAGGAGTCCGTTGGGTGGGCAGCCTGATGTGAAGGTTGTCACTGTCATTCATGGTCCACCACCGTCGCAGGGCGTGGACAAGAAGCTGCCACGGGGACGTGCGTGGTGGAGGGAGGAGGCCGTTGAGGACTCTGGCACCTGGATGGGGGGAGATGAGGCAAGTGAATGGGAGGTTAGGGAAGGACAGGAAATAGGAAAGGGAGGCCTTTCTCTCACCCCAGTGCTGTAGGAACTCTCTCACAGCCCCAGTCCTCCCTGGCACAACCAAGACCCTCTTCAGCCTCAACCAGCCCCTGCGGTTCCCCTGCCTCCCGCAGCCAATGCTCACACTGACCATGGTGGTACTGACCAGGATCTGGACTTTCGGACTTTAGACGTGGAAGGTCTTTCCAGAAAGCTATCCAGTCGCATAAGCCTCTCCATGTGTAGTGCACGAGGGTCTTGTTCTTGGTCATGAGAGAATTCCATCTCAAAGACAGCTGGAGGGGACACGTCCAACTCCAAAAACATTATGTTTTCAGCCTGCGATGGGAACATCATGCCAGACGTTAGTAGCGGCCCCAGTGACTGTGTCTTTTACCACATCTTGAGTGTAGCAAGGGTGATGAGGCTGTTAGAGGTTGTGGGGGCTGTGAGCATACCCTCCCTTGGGCTCTTTCTCCCCTCCCTGCTTCTACTTCCCAGCTTCTTACCCTGTACCTCGGGTGGGACCCCATTGCCATGGCCACCCGAGCATACTGGCTGATAGGCCTCTTGTAGCCCACTGCAGATGTTGGCCGCTTCTTCATTTGGCTGTTATTGCTGCAGGGAAGAAGCGACATTAGAATGGATGTCCTTTGAACACAAATGGCAAACGCTATCAGGAGGGACTAAGTATCACTCAGGTAGCCAGGAGGCCCTGCAAAGCACAGGTTCTGGAAGTTTCTTCTCCTTGCTCTAATACAGCCTGACAACTGGTACTAGAACAGTAGTCCCCCTTACCTGTGATTTCAGTTACCATGGTCTGAAAATAGGTGAATACAGTATAATAACATTTTGAGAGAGAGAAAGATCATATTCGTTTAACTTTTATTACAGTATGTCATTAAATTATTTTATTATTATTATTTATTT